ATATCAGTGAAAGGGGTTTGGTCGAATTGGGGAAACCAAATCTGCTTGGAGCAGACAAAGTCAAAAAGCTGAAATTTTGTGAACCCTGTGTACTTGGAAAATCTTGCAAAGTGAAGTTCACTAAAGGCAAATAAAGAACACAGGGATCCCTTGATTACATCCATGCTGATCTTTGGGGGCCTGCGAGGTGTCCATCACATTCAGGTGTAAGGTATTTTCTATCCAGAGTTGATGATTATTCCAGAAAGTTATGGGTATTCATCCAGAAGAATAAGGATGAAACTTTTGAGAATTTCAAAGGTTGGAAGACTCTGGTCGAAAATCAGACTAGAAGAAAGGTCAAGAGGTTGAGAACCGACAATGGCCCTGAATTTTGCAATGAGGCGTTCGACAATTTTTGTGCTACCTCAGGTATTGCAAGACACAAAACTACTGCATGTACTCCATAATAAAATGGTTTTGCAGAAAGGTTTGATCGAACTATATTAGAAAGAGTTAGATGCATGTTGATTAGTGTTGGGTTAAAGAAGGTGTTTTGGGCTGAGGCTGTTTCGACAACAAGATATCTGATAAACAGATGTGTTTCGACTGTGTTAGATATGAAGACACCTGAAGAAGTTTGGTCGGGACATCCACCAGATCTCGACAAATTGAGAGTATTTGGCTGAGTAGCCTATGCTCACATTAGGCAAGATAAGGTTGAACCTAGAGCTCTGAAATGCATGTTTATGGGATACCCTAAAGGAGTCAAAGCTTATAGGTTATGGTGCCAATAGCCAGGTCAAAAGAGGTGTATCACCAGTCGAGATGTAGTTTTCAATGAAGCTGAGACGACCTTCAAGAAAACTGATGAGGCTGACGAAGAGCTGGAACAAGGAGAGATTCCTGTTAAGGTGGAGCATGTTGATGCTGAATTGGGTATCCCAGGTGAAGTCGAAGAAGAAGCAAAAGAAATTGAGGAAGTTGAGGAAACTGTCGATGACTATCTATTGTCAAGAGATAGGTCGAGGAAAGTCATCAAGCCAGGTTAGTCAGCTGTAATTGGACTTTCAAAGTTAAGGAAGGAATCGAAGGAGTGACGTATACAAGGCAAGATTGGTAGCTAGGAGTTTCACTAAGAAAGAAGGTGTCAGCTTCAATGATGTGTTCTCTCATGTTGTAAAGCACAGGTCGATTCAAATGTTGCTTGCTGCAGTGGCACAATTCGACCTTGAACTAAAACAAATGGATGTGAAGACTGCGTTCTTGTATGAAGATCTAGATGAAACAATCCTGATGAGGCAACCTGAAGGGTATGTCGAAAGGGGGAAGGAAGATTATGTATGCAAGCTGAAAAGATCTTTAAATAGACTGAAACAGTATCCTCGACAGTAAAATAGGAGATTTGACAAGTTCATGGCACGCATAAGTTTCATTAGAAGTCAGTTCGACCACTGTGTTTACTTCAGATTTCGACCTGGTAATTCATTTGTTATTTTGTTACTTTATGTGGATGATATTCTAATAGCAAGAAACAATGTCGAAGATGTAATGAGGGTGAAGGTTGAACTCAATAAGGAGTTTGAGATGAAAGATCTGGGAGATGCGTATAGGATTATTAGGATTGACATCCGAAGAGATAGAAAGCAGTCGAAATTATGCTTATCTCAAGAGGCACACCTACGGAAGATTCTCGAAAAGTTTGGTATGTCGAATTCAAAGCTTGTTGTGACTCCGACAAACCCTTAAATCAAGCTGAGTATAGATCAGTGTCCCAGTACTGATGTCGAAAGAGCTTATATGAATAGCATTCCATATGCTAATATAGTGGGTTCTTTGATGTATGTTATGGTTTATACTAGACCTGACATAACATATGCAGTAAGTCTTGTAAGCAGGTACATGGCGAATCCTGGAAAGGCTCACTGGTAAGCATTGAAGTGGATTCTAAGGTACATAAATGGGTCTCTGAACAAAGTCCTAATTTATGGTGGAACCTTTGGTGAAGATAGTAAATCAGCAATCGAAGGATACGTCGACTCTGATTATGCAGGTTGTATGAATTCTAAAAAATCTACTTCTGGATATGTGTTCACTATGTTTGGCACAACAATCAGCTGAAAAGCAACACTTCAGAAGGTTGTTGCTTTATCAACCACTGAAGCGGAATATATCACCCTAACTGAAGCTGTGAAGGAAGCATTGTGGCTTGAAGGTTTTACAAAGGAGCTGAAACTTTAAGGTCAAGTTATCACTGCTAAATGTGATAGTCAAAGTGTAATACACCTGTCAAAAAATTCAGCCTATCATGAGCGAACCAAGCACATAGATGTGAGGTTGCATTTTGTCAAAGGGGAAAATCAAGTGTGGAGAAGTCCAAGTGCTGAAGATTTCGACATATCATAATGTTGCTAATATAATCACCAAGACTTTGCCCAGTTGCAAGTTTTTCCACTGTATGCAGTTGATAAAGCTGCATAAAGAAAGCTAGTTTGTTCCTTGATGTTATAGAGTTTGTTCCAAGGTGGAGATTTGTGAGATATTGGATCGAACTCTAGTATGATCGAAAATAACTTCTTGGTTCGACAGTTCGATAGATGTTTAGCATGTAGTCGAAGGCCGTTCACATGCTGTTGTCGAAGTAGTGTATGATGTAGTCAAACTAGGGTCAAGCATACAGTTGTCAGAAATGCTAGATTTGTTAGCATTTCGAATTGGGCTTGTTTGTTATGTCCAATTGTTTAAGTTAGCTTGTACCCTAAGTTAGCTTGTAATGGATAATTTTTACAAAGCCCATTAGTTTAGTATGTTATGTTTTATTATAAATATCATACTAATCTCTCATCTTAAGTGTGGCAAATCCTAAGTAGGGTGAGAGGGTTATTTGTTATTCTTGAGCACTTGTAATCTGATTTAAAGAGAAAGTAAAGAATATCAGTTATAACAAATCCTTATTGTTCTTCTTGTTTCTCCGTTAACCCTAACTCTTGTGTGTTTGTTGCCGATAAAGAAACCGTTTATACTTTGTTTCAAGACATTGTTTTCCACAACAGTAAACTATAATGAAGATGAACCTTTGGCTACATAAGTTTGGGGTTTCCATATTAGAGAGACGAGTGACATAGATGTTAGAGTTTTGTTTTGAGAGAGACAACTATAATATACTGAAGCGTGAGATAATTTTGCTTATATATAAATAAATAACACCTTTCACCACGATTGATAATACAAACCGTGATGAAATGATTGCAACTTACACCACGGTTGATTATAAGAATCATGATGATATACAAGGTCATTGGTCAAACCCATTATGTCAGTATAAATGAAAAATTGTTGGTATTGAGATTCAAACTATTTCACTCTAGGTACATTTCACTATGATTGGTACCTATGACCGTTGTGAAATGTCTTATAGTAAATACAAAAACAAAACGTTCAAAAAAGAGTTATTATCACGGTTAATAGGAAGATTGATCTAACCTGATCAGAAAGGGATCGCTGGCTGCCACGTGTCTTCGACTTGCTGTCTGCTCGCCGGTGTTGAAGAGGAGGAGGGAGTGTACCTGCAAGACACTCTGATGGCAAAGTAAGGAATTGGGTAGAGTTAGAGCAAATACAGAAAAGGGGTAAGAAGTGAATACCTGACCCTCTTGGAGAAGAGGGTATTTATAGAGAGACCCCAGCGCAGGGCCAACGGTCATTTGAGTTGGGCTGAATGGCCAGGCCCAACCCAAGTGGCTGCTAGGGCTTACGTGGCGTAGTGAAGACCAGAATGTGGTCTTCGCCCTAGTTCAACTGCTCCGTGAACTCCGGAAAGTGGGTTGACCTGCTCTTTCAGAGGTGGGCAGTTGGTTGGTGATGTGTCCCCGCGGAGGGGAACACGTGGAGAACATGTGAAGGACACGTTGTTCTGCCCACGGAGGGAGAAGGTCTTGCCCGTGGAGGGTAGGTTCTGCCCAACGGGGCAGTGTCTGGTTGACGGGAGTGTCTTGTGCTCGACACAGATGAGGCATGTTCTGCCCGCGGATGGGCGTTACCTGTCCGTCGAGGACCTCATGCTCGAAGGTTGCAGCCCAAGCTGGACCGAACTTGGCAGAATATTATTAGGCTGGGCCTGCCTGGTCAAGCCGGGGCCCAGGCCAGAACAAAGGCCGTTGTAAAATGGGTGTTACGAAAGGTTTATTTTGTAGTAGTGTCATTATCTATGAAACAATGTATGAGACAAAAAGTTGTCCAATACTTTAATAATTTGTACTGCACTGTTATGTACAATACTTACGCTTTTGCGAATCAAACGAACCCTAAGATATGAAATATTTGAACTTGTCATAATGATGTACAATACAAAATGATGTAAAATATTAACAGAGATAAACTTAATAGCAGAGTTAGAGTCAAAATAACATATAAGGTATTTGATGTCAAATTCTTAAACTATATGCAAACAATGATATAACGTCATCAGCTCAACATGAAAGATGTTGGAATAAACCATTATTATATGTAAAACCGTGATCTCAAATACCATCATTATTTTGAATTAATTCACTAAAGTTTGAGGCAACAAGATTACCGCGGCTACTTTCATCAACATTTAAAATCATATTCCTATTTTGTGTACATTTCACATGATCGTTCACAATAAATGAAATAAATTATACTTCAAAAAATATTTAGCTGATATATTAATATAATTCAATCACAAATGGAATTTAAAAAAAAAATTATAATGAAGAAAGAGATATTAATAATCGTCACTCAGGACCAAGGTTAAAATTACAAATAAATAAACTAAAATAATTCTAATTTTAAAATTTAAATTATTATTAAAAATGTAATGATGTAAAAAAAATTTATGATGTAAAATGATTAATACAAATTATTCAATAGAAACATTTAAGATTGTTGAGATATATAAAGAGATGTCAATGGAATAAAACAAGTTACACGTGCAAGATCCATTCCCATTGTGAAGAAGCTCTAAACTTGCAAGAATTTACAGTTACCGATCTTATTTTATGAGTTCCAAGAGAATGAAGCAATCAAAAGACCCATTCGAAGCCGCATTCGAGGAATCACCACCAGAATCCCCAATCGAAACCGAACCAGACCCAGACGCCGACACCGAAATTCCACCTTCCAGTTCCCTGATTTCCCAAACCAATAACGCCCCCGAAGAAGACAATCAATTCAAAAACACCACCTCCGGTAACAACGCTACAACCGCCAAGAATAAAGACGAAGATGACGATGAAGAAGAAGATAACATGGATGTTGAACTTGCTAAATTTCCTACCGCTGGTGATCCTCACAAAATGGCTAAGATGCAGTCAGTAACTTCGTTTTTTTCTTCTCTATGTCATTTCATTTTTTATAAACCCTAATTTTTTCATTTGTAAATTTTTAGGGCTATTTTGTCACAATTCACTGAAGAACAAATGAGTAGATATGAGTCATTTCGTAGGGCTGGGTTCCAGAAAGCTAATATGAAACGGGTATTTTTTTCACTTTTTCATGATGAATTTTCATAAATCGTTACTTTACTGATTATAATATCAATTAGGGACCAAATGAATGATTTATTTGTCATTTTTACTTTTTTTATTACTAGTAATTGTTTTGCCATTGCTTCTTCCTCACCATGGAGCAAAGTTCTTCTTTTTAATCTTGGATACACTTCGAGTGGAATACTAACAACACTCACTTTAGCAAGAGTGTTAGAGTGAGTTCTGCTAGTACAATTCTACACATTAATGGTACAATAATGCAACAATGACACATTAAAGACATGCTTTGTATCTCAATAGGTGTTGATGACGACACCAACACGATAATGACATATTTCGTTAGGGGTGGTAAACGGGTTTCCCCGCCCCGCCCGCCGAAATTGAATTTCTTTTTAAAATACATATTTTTTTTCCATGGCAACAAAAATCAATAATTAAACTAAATATTTGATCATTTTAATAATAATGATAATACTCGATCCTTTTCATTTAATCTTGATTTTAAAAAAATTATAATAAATTTGCTATCTTTCGATTAAGAAAAGTAAATGGGTAGAAAACTTATTAAAAATAAAGACAAAAAAATAAATTTAATAGGTCGGGGCGGTACTAGCATCTCCTGGCCCTGCCCCTGAAACTAAAAACTGGGTTTTCCCCGCACCTGCCCCTAGTTAAATCGATTTTTCCCTGTTTGATTCGGGTGGGGACGACCGGGTATGGGCTGGGGGGGATTTTTTTGCCATGCCCACATATTAGAGGCTGCAGGCTTAAAATTTTGTCCCACCTCGTGAAAAAATGCAGACAAAATGAGCATGCCTTGCAGGTTGGACTAGTTTCACCACCCCCAAATTCGTTGCATTCGATACTTCGATTTTTTAAAATCATTAGCCGGGTATACATGTCATGTGTTCGTTTTTAAAATCATTAGCTGTGTATACATGTCATGTGTTCGTGTATGTGCTTCATAGGTAAGTACTTGATATAGGGCTGAGGAAGAATTTGGGTTAACAGCCCAAGACTAGTTAGGGCTTGTCGGGTGGATTAATGGTTAATTGTGTATATTTCAGTTTTTGAGATAAAAGGGACGAGCCTTAAATAAACAGGATTTGGGGTTTTGAGGGTTCTTAGAAAACTAAAGGAATTAACGCTTGTCTTAAAGGCCTGGTTGTTTTCTGTTTGCCCCCCTACAGTGGGTGGATAGTAAAGTAATAAAATCAAGGGATGTTATTTCAACAAACTTGTGATTTATTTAGATGTGTCTTTAATATCAACTAATGATTTGTTTATGAGTGGTTAGTTAATGTTGTCTTACTTTCAACTTTAAAGTGAGATGCTCACCATGTAATGTCGGATCTGTGTATTTTACATTCTGTGTGGGTTCTTGGACAGTGAATGAGTCAGTGACCTCCAACTTCTTCCCAGAATTTCAAACAAAAACAGCATTAACGAGTTTCATGTTTAAGCTATTTATTTCTTGATGCTAGGCTAGGCTAGGCTGATATTGTATCCTTGAACATTAATTGACCTTCAGCATTCCGTTTTCCTTCACCTCAAACTGATTAGGTAATTTCTTTTTCTAATTTCAAGACTCTTAAATGATCAAACTATACCACCATAAACACATGACATTGTTGAATACAAAATTTCTAAACCGTTGAGTTCAGATTATTTATAGAAACTGCAATTGGTTGGGATCCTCTCTGGTTTTGGAATAATAGGATATTGTCCTGTCAGAGAGAATAATAGAAATTTTTTGTACAATTGATTGGATGTTTGTAGGGTAGGCTCCCCTAGTTTAAATCCAAGGCTTATAGTCACTTGAGCTAACCTAACTCTGACTCTTTTTCTGTGTATATTATTCAGAATTGTTTCTATCAAATTTTCTGTGCATCGATGCTGCTTTTGAAATCGTGTTCTTCTACAAGATATTCATATTTTAGAATGTCACATTTGTATTTCAATTTGCACCAGTAAATTACATTATAGTAAATCAAGATTGCTCACAATTCATAAGTGATCTCTTCTCTATTGGTTATCTGGAAGCAGTTATTAGCAAGCATCACCGGGACCCAGAAAATCTCTATACCAATTACGATTGCAGTATCAGGGATTGCAAAAGTGTTTGTGGGTGAAGTTGTTGAAACAGGTATTGATTTTCCTTTACAAACATGACATAGTGACCGGTCCTGCTTATACTGTGTTTCCAAGGTAAAAATGTTGCAGTGTATTATTTCCATTAATCAAAGGTATTCTATCTTTGCAGCTAGAATGGTTATGAAGGAGAGGAAAGAATCTGGACCAATCCGGCCATGTCATTTGAGAGAAGCACATAGACGACTAAAGCTTGAAGGAAAAGTCTTCAAGAGAACAACCTCGAGGCTATTTCGGTAATGGACCAAATATGATTCTTGGTATCGTATGATTGGCTTGCAACAGTGGCATGCAGGCAGGACAAATATTTAATCCAGCTTATCCAATAAACTGGAATGAGTGAATCAATGTTGGTAGGTAAGTTGGGCAAGTTTCCTACAAATAGAATGAGCAATGTTGGTAGGAAAAATAATCTTTCTAGTTGTGTCAAATATATTCAGTGCTTTGATTTTTATTGTATTATAAATGGAACTAAAGTTAAAGAAAAATTATTTGTAGGGCATAATTGTGTTCATATTTTTATTGGCTGAGTTGATTATGACTCGTGCCACTTCAAGTATTTGAATCATATTTTTAACCGACACAAATGCAAATGAGTGATTGCTTAACACCTATTACATAATAGTAAATTATCTTATCTTGAGAGTGAGAATAAATCGGTTATTCGATCATAATCATAATCATTTACTATCTCCGTTCTTAAATATAAGACTCTGTTGTGAAAATAAAAGAAATTAAGAAAGTTGGTTAGAGTATTAAAATTATTGATTATTTTGTATTATTTTACAAGTTTATTCTTAGGAGAGAGAAATAGTTAATGTGTATGTAACTGGATTTATACCAGAGTGTAAAAAAGATGTAATATAATTAGGGATATGTGTGAAAAAAGATGTAATATAATTAGGGGTATGTGTGAAAAAAAATAATTAATGTAAAGGGAGTCTTATAAAAAGGGACAAAAAAAACTCAACAGGTCTTATAATTAGGGACGGATGTAGTACATAATCAAGATTTCAGACATTTCATCATTGAAAATAATATTTGTGCACGATTATTTGCTTTGATCTAATTGGTTGTGCACGATTATTTGCTTTGATCTAATTGGTTGTCCCTTGTTATTTTATAAACAATTCAAATCACATTTTAAATATTAAAGACAAAGTGTAAATATTTAAATAATTGTATGCATGACATTACATTTATATTATCAATGTTTTTATTTAAATATCTCATTTTGTATTGAAGTGGAGTAATTCTAATATAAGACACTTGCTTGTATCATTGAATGGATAAAAATTAATAAAATGCTAGTAAGAGATCTTTTTAATATAACTTATAATCTATGTTTTTAATTTTTTTTATCTTTAAAAATGGTTATATATGATCTTTGTAAAAATTGATATTGAATCATGGTTTTAGCATTACATAGAATTTCATGAAAGGAAATTCCATTGATTCAGATGACTAGCATTCAAAGTTTATTATTCTTAATACATTATATACATACATAAGAATAAAAAGAATTTGAATAATGATTTTAGCAATACATAGAATTATAATAACTCAATATAGTATAACTTAGTTTTTCTTTGATTGAAACTTCGTCAAATATATCCATATCTTCCTTCTATATTTATCAACAAATGAGATGAAGTATGTATTTTCTCCTAATAATTTCTCTTCAAAAGTTCCTCACACATATAAGTGGACAACTTTTAGCAGAATAGATGACTTCATTGGTAAACAGGCCTTAACATTGGATGACTTCTAGCACATACAACATCATACAACCTATGTAAAAGCTATAATAATCAGACTTGGCAAAAAAAAAGTCATAATAATCGTATGAAAAGTTGACTATCTTGTAAACCAAATTCATGTGTAAGAAACCTTTTAAAGAGTAATTGTTGGCTTTAAATTTCGACGTTTAAATTGGTTTAGAAGAGAGTAATAGAGTTTTTGAAGAAACCTGAATACTTCGACCGAATTCATATTTTTGGAATGTGAGTCGAAGACGTCCTTCTGCCAGAAGAAACTATCCTACGGACTTAAAAATATTTCTTAGCAGTTGAAAGATTCGATTCGACAGAGGTGCTACTGAAGGCATTTCGATATGAAGATTTGAATTCAAAAAGAGGAGGAAAATTTCATTCTTATCCATTTCTCAAAGAAGACACGTGAAGTGTTTCTAGAAATCAAAGACATGCAGAGCGCCACTTGTCTCGATTTTGTTTGCTAGCCGTTAATAACAGTTATTTTCGATTAGTATAAATAGCAAGTCTCAATGTTAGGATTGATGTGTGTTCAATTGTGTACAAATTCTTCAGTATATTCCAAGTACACGTGTGTAGAGAAAGGAGTTTGTAATAATGTACGTTGATGTAACACCATATTTACATTTCAATACAATTTAATAAATCTTTTTCATTAAGAAATTATTCTTTCTTTATGCAAGTTATTATCTTCATCGTTTACCCGTACTTCGATTTTACTCCTTCATGTTCAATTCCGTTTACACTTGAAATAAATTATTTTATCACGAATTCTGTCGAAGTGTTCATCGTCTTTTTAAACTTTGTTTAAGATCAATTAGCACATGTCCTAAGATTTGTGTGGTCGATCTTGCAAGTAAAACAAATATTTTTTGATTTGTAAGACCAGCGGTTGTTTACCAATTTTCACGGCGAACAGTAATGAGACATCATTGTTGTACTAAACAATGCCCATTTATGTCAATATTTGTGATACACCTAATATCACACTTCCGACAACATTGCTAGGTAAAACATCTTTCGGTGTGATAGTAGTAGTTGATACCTAGTGTTTTACTTATTCATGTGATAGTAGTAGGATTGCGGTATTCAAAATCTATATTTTTTTTGCTAAAAGATTGTGTTAATGCTATTGTATTTTTTTGTGTCCATAATTTGTTGGAAATTCACCTCACACCCTATGAAGAATTCCCTTCAATCTTGATCTCAAGATTGATGAACAAACCCACAATATGATAATGATGGTAATAACAAGTAATTATCAAGAACAACAAAAGAAAAGAAGAATAACAAACAAGAAAGAGAAGAATGAGAGAAGAAGTATTTGGAGAGAATGTGTTACCCACAACTGTGGGATTTCTTATTGAAATTTCACTTGCTAACTGCAACTGTGAAATCTGTTCTGTTGTGATGTAGAATACAAAGCAAGGCACCCTATTTATAGTTTTAGGTTTACACTAGCCCAAAACATAAAAGGCCCAAAATATTCTAAATCAAATCTAATCATATGATATCAAATCTAATCATATGAAATCAAATCTAATCATATGATATCAAATCTAATCATATGATATCAAATCTAATCTAAATCTGTTTACACAATGAATTATATTTAACACACCACCTAATTCATTGTGTCTAAACTGTCTACATTCATCATGGCCCTTAGTCTTCTGAAGGCTTCGACCTGCACTCCCTTCGTCATGATATCTGCAATCTGATTCTCAGTTCTGCAGTGTTCCAACTTCATCTTCCCTTCTGCTACCCTCTCTCGGAGATAATGGAACCTCATTTCGATGTGCTTGCTTCGACCATGAGCTATTGGATTCTTCGCCAAGTTGATAGCTGACATGTTGTCTATCCTCATGGTAATTGCTCCATGATTCTTCCCTGTGATTTCTTCGACCAAGTTCACCATCCAAGTTGCTTGACATGCACAAAGAGAAGCAGCTATATATTCTGCTTCTCATGATGACAATGCCACTACTGGTTTCTTTCTCGAATTCCAAGCAACTGGTGCACCACCTAACATAAACACATAACCAGCTGTGGATTTTCGATCCTCAGCATCACTACACCAACTGGAGTCTGTGTATCCCACTAACTTGCATTCTTTTCCTTCATCAGCTGCTGGAAACAAAATACCATAGTCGAGAGTTCCTTTCAGATACCCCAGTATCCTCTTCGCCGCTGCTAGGTGTGATACCTTTGGCTTCTGCATGAATCTACTTACCATACCAACAATGTATGCTAAGTCAGGCCTTGTGTGACAAAGGTATCTAAGTGACCCAGTAAGTCTTCTGTATTGGGTTGGGTCGACATCATCTTCATCTGAATCCTTCGACAGTTGCAATCTGGGCTCAGCTGCATTGACTGGTTCGATGGACTCCAACTCTTCAATCATTGCTTTCATCCACTTCGAATCTTTCAATGCCTCAGCTGCATTGACTGGTTTGACATCTGCGTAGAAAGCATAATGTACCAACTCACCCTCTTCATCGACTACATCATCTGATGTAATTACACATTCTTGCAACCTTGCAGGCATGTGTCTTGTTCGTCGAGGTCTGCTTGAACCTGCTTCATCTGCAACTGGTTCCTGTCGAACTTCTATTTCGACTTCAGTGGCTGGTTCTTCACAAGAGATTCTCACTGAATCCTTCTTGTCATTCTCAATCCAATCCCATTCTTTAAGCTCATCTATGATCACGTCCCTGCTGATCACTACCTGCTTATTCACTGGGTCGAACAGCTTGTAACCTCCTGTTGAATGATATCCTATCAAGATCATCTGATTCGACTTATCATCAAGCTTCCTTCTCAACTGATCTGGCACATGTCTATGTGCTATAGATCCAAACACCTTCAAGTGACTGAGACTAGGCTTGACACCAGACCAACATTCTTCTGGTGTGATTCCTTCAAGCTTCTTCGTCGGACATCTGTTCAATATATATGTTGCTGTCGAAACTGCTTCTCCCCATAATTCTTTAGGTAGATGCTTTCCATTCAACATACTTCTCACCATATTCATGATGGTTCTGTTCTTGCGTTCTGCAATCCCATTTTGCTGTGGAGTGTAAGGTGGCACCACCTCATGCACAATCCCTTCTTTTACACATAGTGTATCGAACTCTTTCACACATACTCTCCACCACCATCAGTCCTCAGAATTTTCAGCTTTCGACCACTCTGTCTTTCAACCATGGACTTGAATCTGGAAAATAACTCAATCACATCACTTTTCTTCTTGATGAGGTAAGTCCACAACTTTCGACTGTAATCATCTATAAACGTGACAAAGTATCTATTGCCACCGATCGAATCCACCTGGATTGGACCACATACATCAGAGTATATGACTTCAAGTATTGCCTTCGACTTCCTTCCTGCATCCTTGCTGAAGCTATTCTTGTGTTGTTTCGACTGAACACACTCCTCACAGACTTCACTTGGAATGTCGATTTC